CTCCGTATGAACAATATACCACTTTTCTCGCCGCGTTACCAGCCAAGGAAACTAAGAACACGGAATCGCAACCATCGAACGGCGTAGGAGGGGATTACCGCCTCCTAGCGCAGCCTGCGTCTGGAAGAGAACCCCTAGGGGCTGTCCCAGCTCAGGAACCCCCGGCCGACCGCACAGGGAAAGCCCCTCAAGGGCAGAGCCCCCTAGGTCGTGTCCCGACTGCACCCTTGACGAAGGGAGGTCACCCCGGAGTGGGAGAAAGGCCGACAACCCAGCCCGCTGGGCCTGCGTCCTCGTTTGTGGGGCCGTCTGTTCCAGTGGGAGGCGCTGAGAAAGCAGCTGAGGCCGTGAAAGCGAGGGACCCCCTGCCCTCAGTAGCCAAGGACAATACTGCGGCAAACGGTGCAGACCCCCCGTCGGAGTCAATATGTGTGCGCTCACGAAGGGTTACCCAAAGTACCGCCGGGTCCAGGACGAGCAGTAAGTACGGATCGACAGTGGAGGTTACAACGCCGCGCACAAGCGCCCGAGGCCAGGGCCGAACACAGGGCAGAGAGCCCTCCTCCACCACTTCGACAGAAGGCGCCCAAGTGCCGCTGAGGGGCCCTCTTCGGCCCGGTGACCAAATGCCGCCTCGAAGCAAGAATCCATCGGTCTTATTGGAGGAAGTCGAAGATGAAGAAGCCCACTTGCGATCCGACATACCGGTCGTAACCCCCAGGAGGCCGACGTCCCCCACCATGTCTCTTACCGTGAACACCAACGACAAGAAGGTGTTTGCAGAAATGTACTACGAGCCCCATGGCATTTTATGGACCCGTCGAGCCCTACGAATCGCTCGAGGAGACGCAGCGACTCGTGCCATCCTTAACGGATGGGTACACCCTCGGCGCCGCGAGGAGGTTACCGACCAGTTATGTTATCAACTGGAGGAGCAGACGGAGACGGCGGCTCAGGCCAGAGAACGATGGCAGTGGATGGAGGACTTGCAGAAGCCGCCAATGTACATACGAGGGAGGAAGGGGCATAATGTTTCAATCAAAGTGCAATTAGAAACCCTGGACACGAGGGAGATCTATGCTGTGAGCGCCCTAGTTGATAGCGGGGCCACCGGTAGCTCGATCGACCGTGCCTGGGCCCAATCCCATGACCTCAATCTAAAGAAGGCGGCCCGACCCGTTCCGGTTTACAATGCCGACGGCACTCGAAATAAAGGAGGAGACATCACGGAATATGCCGAGGTCCGAATGCGTATAGGAGATCACGTGGAGCGGATCGAACTAGCGGTGGTTGATCTAGGCTCCACTCCCCTATTCCTAGGGCACGACTGGCTACAACGTCATAATCCGCTCATTGATTGGGACACCGGGGCAGTTACCTTGGCCCGGTGCAAGTGCAGAAAAATCCCTTTCTCCCTTCCTGACACCGACCCTTCGGCGCGATGGGACGAGTATGAAGAAGGGGATACCATACTGGTCGTAGACTTTGAGGAAGCCTTTCATGTGCGGGCTATGGGGACCAGAGCAAACCAACTAGCGGCCCAAGCCAACGCCAAAAGGACCGTCAAGTCGTTTGAAGAAATCGTACCGGAGGAGTACCGGGAGTTTAAAGACATCTTCGACAAGGAAAACTTCGACGAGTTACCTCCTCGAAAGCCCTGGGATCACGCCATCGAGTTGATTCCTAACGCTAACGCCAATCTGGACTGTAAAGTTTACCCACTCAACCACGTCGAGCAGGAAGAGTTAGACAAGTTCTTGGATGAGAACTTGTCTACCAGTCGAATCCAGCCCTCGAAGTCCCCCATGGCTTCACCGTTCTTCTTCGTCAAAAAGAAGGATGGCAAGTTACGTCCAGTCCAGGACTACCGTAAGCTCAACGAGATGACTATCAAGAACCGTTATCCGTTGCCGCTTATCGGGGAACTCATGGACAAGCTCAAAAAGGCCAAGTACTTCACCAAGCTGGATGTACGTTGGGGATACAACAACGTGAGGATTAAACAGGGGGACGAATGGAAGGCCGCTTTTCGCACCAACCAGGGGCTCTATGAACCCCTGGTTATGTTCTTTGGGCTCACTAATTCTCCCGCCACGTTTCAGTGGATGATGAACGACATTTTCAAAGACCTCATAGTGGCCGGGGAAGTGTCGGTCTACCTGGATGACATTCTTATCGCCTCAAAGACCAAGGCGGAGCACCGACGAATAGTACGCAAGGTACTACAGATTCTCCGAGAAAACAAGTTGTTCCTTAAGGCGGAAAAGTGCGAATTCGAGGTGGAGGAGACCGAGTATTTGGGGGTCATCATCAGTGAAGGGAAGATCCGCATGGACCCAGTAAAGATTGCGGGGCTACTTGAATGGCCCGTCCCCCGTCGGAAACAAGAACTACAGTCCTTCCTCGGGTTCTGTAACTTCTACCGACGATTTATCCGTGACTATAGCAAGCACGTCAAACCGCTTACTTCGCTCACCGGAAAGCAGGAATGGGGGTGGGGAGAAGCTCAGCAAAAGGCGTTCGACAAGCTCAAAGCGTTATTCCGTGAGGATGTGGTACTAGCTATCCCGCTAGATGAGGGACGATTCCAAGTGGAAGCCGACTCTAGCGAAGGGGCGGTCGGGGCGGTACTTTCTCAATTGCAAGAGGAGAAGTGGTGACCGGTAGCCTTTCTTTCCAAATCGCTTTCGGCTACCGAACGGAACTACGAGATTTACGACAAGGAACTCCTGGTGATTATGATCGCATTGGAAGAATGGCGTCAGTACCTCATGGGGGCAAGAGCAGATTTCGAAATCTGGACGGACCACTCCAATCTCCAGTACTTCCGTAAACCCCAGAAACTCAACCGAAGACAAGCGCGGTGGGTGACAGAGTTAGCAGAATATCAATTCACCCTGCATCACAAGCCCGGAGCTCAAAATCGCAAAGCGGACCTCTTGTCAAGAAGGGCGGACCACGACCAGGGAAAAGACGACAATCGGAACGTTACGGTACTCAAGGCAGAGCACTTCCGAGCTCTAATCATGCCCACCGCTGAGGAGCTACATGAACGAATCAAGGTGGCGACGCATGACCCTCGTCGTTGGGACAGAGGAATCTCCGATTCCCTAAACCACGAAAAGGGCATTGCTCGGGATCAAGACCTCTTATGGTACGACGGGCGAATTTATGTGCCCGTAGATCGTGATCTGCGGGGACAAATCATAGCCCTCAAGCATGACCATGTCACCGCAGGCCATCCTGGTATCGAAAAGACCAAGGAGTTAGTACTCCGCGATTACTGGTGGCCGCGTATGCGTCGAGACGTGGAAGCGTATGTAAAGGGATGTGAGGTCTGTCAGAGAACCAAAGCCGACAGACGCCCAAGGAAGGCTCCTCTATACCCCAATGAGGTCCCAGTACGGCCTTGGACCCATATCTCGGTCGACATGATCACCAAACTCCCAAATTCAAAGGGGTTTGATTCCATTCTCGTCATCGTGGATCGATTTTCGAAAGCCATCATCCCTATTGCCTGTACGGAAGAGCTTACCTCTTCGGGCTTCGCTAAAATCCTGAGGGACTACGTTTATGTACCCTATGGTGTGATGCCCGAGAAGGTGATATCCGATCAAGGATCGGTATTCGTCTCCAAGTTCATGAAGGAATTCTATCAGCTTCTTCACGTAACGGGGAACCCGTCAACTGCCTACCACCCACAAACGGATGGGCAAACTGAAAGGGTCAACCAGGAGATCGAGAAGTATCTCAAGATGTTCGTCAACGATCGACAAGATGATTGGAGCGAATGGCTGCCCTTAGCCGCCTTCACGCACAACAATCGTCAACACTCGGCAACAGGCTACTCCCCTTATAAAGTCATCTTCGGACGAGATGGAGAGGTTATAAAGACAGCCCAAAGAAGAACTACGGTACCAGCAGCAGGGAGGCTAGTGGAAGAAATAGGAAAAATGCAGGAAGAAGCAAGAAGATCCTTAGAAAAGGCGGCAGAGTCCATGAAGAAGGCTTACGATAAGCACAAGGGCGCTGCGATCGAATATAAGGTCGGTGACAAGGTCTGGCTCGACACAACCAACCTTCACCTACCCCGACCAGCGAAAAAGCTCGGTGACCGCCGGGTAGGCCCCTTCAGCATTACCGCCAAAAAGGGGGCCTCAGCTTATGAACTAAAGCTACCCCTAAAGTGGAGGATTCACAATCGCTTTAACGAGTCACTCCTAACGCCTTACGTGGCCCCGGTCTTCTCAAACCAACCACGCCCAGAACGACCACCGCCAGAGCTCATCGACGATGAGGAGGAATACGAAATAGAAGAGATCGTGGGACAGAGGGACAGAGTCGTCAAACGTGGACAGACCCGTCGCACGATAACGGAGTACCTAGTGAAATGGAGGGGATACCCACGGGAGGAGAACTCCTGGGTTAAACGCTCGGACATGGCCAATGCAGAAGAACTCGTCAACAAGTACGAAGCACACCTCCAGAGGATTCATTGGGAAGTCGACAAACACGGAAAAACAGTCGGAAGGGATGACAAAATACCACCCAGTGTTGGAATGGTCTACCATGACCCAGACACGCCATGCGTCACAGACGTTGAAACTGTTTATTCCTCCGAGTGCACGAATCCGAGACACTCCGACTCTCAATCATCGGTCGCGATGCGTGAAGTTACAACAGAGGAAGCAGATGGAATACCCATTGTAGACGAAACACCAAACGATGAGGATTCCAAACTAGACCTCGATAACTTGCAACGAATCCACGAAAATTGGGACTTTGACTCTGAAGATGAGGACGATGACGATACTTGGTCCTTTTACAGTCAATCCGCACGAAGTGGGGAGGAAAGTCAGAGCTCATTCGGGACGAACGAGTCTTGAGGAGGGGGTAATGTTACGGTTTATTCTTTTCTTTTCTTTTCCTTACATATTCATGCTTACTCTATGTTGCGGTTCTGATCGGACATTCTCACAGTACTATTTTTAGTCTACAAAACGTGTATTTAAGTAGAGCCTCAGCTGGTCTAAACCCCAGCTTTGGCTAAGGTTTAATCTACCTAACTTAACGCTCCCTGCTTCTTGACTATTTGTCTCGCACCTGGCTCTGTCCGTCGCCTTTGACCTCTAAGTGTATTGTCCACCGAAGTGCGAGTGGCGATCCTTAGTTGATCTAAGTCGATAAGAGTTAGTGGCTAACAAGATTCTGCGGGTGCTGTAGGTATGTTATTTGAAAGATCGCCTGAAGAAGGGTCAAATTACATGCCTTTTGTCCCCCCCCAAATGAAATACCTACTGAGAGGGCAGAGTAGCGGCCGCGCCGATGCATCCACTGCTTACGTGAGAAATTGCATTCACGTCGAGTTTGATCCAAGAGGTCGGCGGCCGAGGTATGTACGCCATCCCAGCTGGGATCATCAGGCTGCCCTGCTAGAACAGCAATGACGCACCCCTCGCCATCGGTGACGGGAGTCGCGGTTCTGTGGGGGGGGGGAGGGGGATCTTAATGAGGCAGGGATGTGGTAGGAGGTTAGGCACTCACCGGCCGCACCAACCCTTGTAGTCAAACTTGTAACGGCTGTTCGGGCCCACTAAATCCCGCAATGCAACTGGATCGTTTCCACCCCTCATCAAGGCGCCTGCCGACATACCCGGAGGATGCTGCTGGGGCACCCTCAGTGGCATGGTTGGTTGGGATCTCCTCCGCGTGGGTCTGGTGCTTGCGCTGCGTATTGGGGCACGCTTGATAGCCATAGAGCTGGCTGGATCCTCGCCGTTTGGCTCGCTGCTTTTTGTGGTTGGCATGGCTTTGATTCTTCTGATGGCTTCGTGAATCAGACTGGCTCAAGGCTGCTGGAGGTGGCGATAGGTCGGAGGCTGCTGACTTCAGTGGAGGCAGCGGCGTGGATTCCGTCATGGGTTCTGGCGTCGTGGGTGCTGAAGGGGGGGGGTTCGTTGAGGTCGAAGGGATCGTATGCATCCAGGGGATCAAGGGTTTCCTCGTGATCAACGCAGTCACGGAGGAGATGGGAGAAGCTGAAGTCGAGATCGGAGCTCATTACCGGTGCTGTGGAGCCTTCCCATGGTGAGAAGTGGGCACCAGAACACGTCTAATTGGGTGTCAGTGATGCAGCTGAGGGAGTGGGAATGCCAGTGAATGAAGGACACGCCTTTCGGAAGGAGAAAAATTCGGTAATGACATCTAAGGATTCAAACATTCAGGGGTCAGGACCGGTAGGAATCTTACACATGATGCGGCCGTCCCAACGCACCCACACAATATGGCAACTACCCCAATACCTCGCATTCCCAGGCTTGAGTATTCGTAGGCACGAGGTAGTTGCCATAGCGGTGGATGTAATTGGGAAGGTAGCTAACAAAATGGACGTACGTGGTAGGACCTTCATGAGGTGAACGCAAGTGGTTGTGGTGGCACCAGACCAAAGTCTAAAAACTTCGAAGCTTCGTGGTGATTCTTCACGTGTCATGCTGCTTGTCAACAATGAACATTTTGTGATCACATGCCTGTTATATCACTTATTTTAGGTCGAGGCGGCCTCATGTTTCAGAGTTTGAAACTCCGACCAGTTGCCGAACCTCGATCCGAGAGCTCGTCTCGTATTTCTTCCCTTCTTGATCGTTCTCAGCAAAGCTAGAGTAGACTTAAGCATATTCGCTATACTTCTCTGATACAATGCAGGGTTTGGGGTCAGAATGTAGGTAGGAAGCAAGGACATGGTGCTCCATGATCTGACCAAGCATGAACAACTTGACCCCAACATTGACAATCTACTGTGACCTGAATATAAGAATCCAAGAGGGCCACGTCGCTCACTCTATCAGAGCCATCATGCCCCCACAGTCCCATTCCCCTCCCAAGTATCCCGGATGCCCATGCCCCAGAGGTCACTCGCCCCCCCCCCACCTTCTGTCCCTCCATCTCTTCAGGACATCACTAATGCAACGTCTTATATCTCTCGATTAAGCCTTTCCATCTGTGAGGCCACTTTAATGCGTGTTGCTAACATTCAAGCTTACCCTTCACATAGCCCATCCCGCTTTGCAAGGTCGGGCGACCCCCAGTGATGTCACCGAAGTTGAAGTCTACAAGCATCGATTGATTGATGCCCGTACAGCCAGGTATGTTGAATGTTGTCACATTTGTCTTCACGTGTCGCTGATACATCTAGTAGGCGAGAATGATGTTATGCCCTGCCTGGGCCTCTGCGCTCTTAGAAGGTTGGGCTACCAAGATGGACGATATGGAAGCCCGCCTGCATCGGGATGCTGTCGAGAGGCAGGAATTCCTCGTCCATGATGATAGTGAGCGAGGGCAACGCATTGTTACAGAGCTGCATGGTATCTTTACAAACCGCTTCAATGACCTTGAAACCCGCCTCGATAAGTCCTTTTCCATGATCGAAAAGTGCCTCATTAGGGTGGAAATCGCCACCGCTGTCGTATGTCGCTTATTTTTGCACTAACTGCCTTCTGACCTTTTTTTGTAGGCCCACAACCTGAGTTGTGGCGATGGTCTCTGACGACCCTTCGCTCTCCTACCCTCTGAGGAAGGTCATCTCCCAAACGATATAGATTTTGTCATACCCAGCCAAAACCTTCCGCTCTTACATGATACGTGTGCTATTGAAGGGCTGTCCGACGACCAGCTTAACGCATATCACACAGCATATAAGCTGTCTGGGAATCGGGCAGACAAGCTCCTTCTTCTCTGGTACCATGTTGGATGCTTGGTGAACTATTCCATGTAGCGTAAGAAAAAGGTTCGTTCATACATAGTTACATGTTGTGCTGTTGTAAGATAGTTTCGTCAATTTTAACGTATTTTGAGACGCTGCAGGAAATGGCGCTGAGCATCGTATGTCACCACAGCATTAATTGCAACACTTTCCATTAAGAATATGAAGGGCTGGCAAGTTGATGTATGATTACCTAGCTGAGTTGCTTATGTAACGTAGTCGGCCAATCGCAGTTTGTTGACTTTGCCCATGTTCCCAATTGTCGTTGAAAAATGAAGCGCGGTCGTCATCCTCAGCGCCTAGAAGGCACCCACCGTTGCGTAGAATTTGAGGACGACTGTGACAGAGTACACTCTCGAACGTCTGGCATCGATCGACGTGGACATACGTCCTCATCTGAGTCCAAACCCTTACACGGCAAAGCAGGTTGGACCCTCGGAAGTATGTGGAACCCTCCAGACGATTCCGAGCTTTCACTCGACGTAGATGGGAGCAGTTACGAGGACCAGATGAATGCAGAAGTGTTTGAAAGTACCATCTTCCACGACACAATGGAACCTCAAAAGGCAATGAGGTCAAAAGTTTCGGTGAGTGGCAAGTCTTTGGAAACCAGCTTACGTGCTGAGGACGGTTGGAAGAGGTGGCCACATTTGGTGTGGAAGGAGCAGTTCAGATCGGTTTATCTAGATGAGGTTACTCGCCACGACGGACGAGGAGACGCTCACCAGAGTCTGAAATGTCCCAACTGTATCGCTCGGAATGTTGAGGAAGAGGTGCAGGGAGAGCCGGAGGTTTGGTGTAAGGATTGTTTTCTCAGTGATTTGGTCTGCACATCCTGTTGCGTCCGTCGGCATAGGCAGAATCCATTCCACCGCATCGAGGTAGTTTTTCCCCATTACCCTAACGTGAACATCCAGTACTGACATTCCTTTAAGCGATGGACTGGGCTTTACTTTGCCCCAATCACGCTGAAAGCGATTGGCTTACACGTTCAGCTTAACCACCGAAGTTTCCGATGTCCTCTCCCCATACCCTGCCATGTCAAGCTTCGAATTCTCCATACCATGGGCATTCATGATGTTGCAGTCGATTACTGTGGTTGTGGGTGACAAATCCCACAGCACATTCAACTCCTACGACACGGATGGTATCCTGCTAGCCAGAAGGTGGTGAAGACTTGTGCAACGTTCTGGCTGTTGGAGTTGCTCCACCTCTTTTCCCTTGTCTCCAAAACATCCACATATCATTTTTATTGCACGTTAGAGAGAATGACGGATAATACGGGGCTGAATACACCGCCCTCTCGTAAAGCAGCCCTGATGCGTATGCTTATTCAATGGTGTCACTTGAAGCTGTTAAAGAGAGGTGGGCGAGTGCACGACATCACTGGACCTGAGGGTACAAAGCCAGGCGAGCTTGCCGTCCTCTGCCCATCTTGTCCTCGGCCAGGAATAAACCTACCTCCAGACTGGGATCAAGCACCTCCCCACTTAAAGTAAGCATAGATGTTGTAATGTGATGGTTTTAATCTAACCCACTGACCTAGATTTTTGTATATTTTGCTTATATGCATCGACGCGAACTTCTGGCTTAAGAACCAGATTGTGTCATCGTATTTGAGAGACCCAGGTCTCGGTATCGGTTGGGCGTACTTCACTGCCCGCGAGCCTTATGAGGAATACATTCAAAGTCGAGCTACAGATGCAGACATTGGTTCTTAATTCGTCTATTTTGGTTCAATCTTGCTAACTCTACCTCAGATTAGTAACTGCGTGGAGTTTTCTGCCATGGTCAAATCAAACACAAAGTTTTCAAAAGGGCTCTGTTACACAGGTGTGGTTGCGGTGTCCTGCGGAAGAAGTGAGATGGTTCTGCCTACATGTGTCGGCAATACGAATAAGGGTGAGAGGTGAGCAATCATAGCAGAGCTGTGGGTCAGGTACTCATCCTCGGTTCACAGATACGCCAACATCGACCCCCTCACTGCAGCAGCTATCCGTCAATTCTCAGATTTGTTCTGGGTCATTATCAGCTATGACATTGCCTGCCAATGGATCAAGACGATATTCACACGGATGACCTCACATTGGCCCTCTGAGCTTCGATTCAATCCCGATATCAGAGTGACCCCACTGGTGCCAAAGTTCCATGAGCCAGGTCATAAAGCAGAGGACCACGAACAATTCTCTTTCAACCTTGCTGAAGGCGCCGCTTTATCGGATGGAGAATGTCCTGAAAGGATATGGGCACCCCACAACATTCTAGGAAACTCAACCAAGACTGCGGGGCCAGGTACGAGGCAGGATCTGATTGACGACCATTTCGGATTTTGGAACTGGCTCAAATATTGCTGCATGGGTGAGGCATTGTTAAATTCCCTTGGATGTGTATTGAATGTGGCTAGGGTTAACACTTTGGAAACGCTACAGAGATGCGGTCTCGGAGCGAAACCGGCAGGAAGAAGCACACAGAGGCTTTATGCAGAGCTTGCCACCCAATATGGTCACCAAATGGGAGGATATCTGTGCTGCATGGGAGGCTGATAAGGTTCCTAAGACGGTGCTGAACCCCTTCTGTGTTCAGAGCGACGGTGCGTCTAGTCAATTTTTTTCCTATCTGCAATTTTGACAGAGTCTGCCAGATTTGACTGAGGATGAGGTTCATAAAGAGTTGGCCGAGGAAGAGGAGGCTCACAGGCACAATGGGGGACAGGTGGTTCATGACATGAGTCCTTCAGCTTTTATGGTTTTTGGTTTGGCCCTTGAGGAGTCGCAGTGAGTGACCTGTATGTTTTGGAAGCTTCTACTGAGGCATATTCAGGTGAAAACTATGCTTGGAGGTTAGGAAACTGAAAGCCAATCTGACTGCTCACCAAGACGCTCACATTGCAGAGCAGCAAAGTCTTCTCCGGTCCAAGATCAAAAAATTCGAAGAGTTGCGTGCCACATACATGCCTGGGCTCCTGCAGTTTATTACCGAGACTCAGGAGGTGGATTATTCATCAACCGGGGCATTAGCGGAGGAGGTGAGACTATGGCTACCCTCCTGCATACCGGTGGATCGCAGGAGCCAGGTATGCGAGGCCTCTTTATCAAAAATGGAGGAGCGTCTACGCACAGCGCAATGCCATGACTCATTAGGTTCGATTCGCCACATCTTGTGCTTGAAAATGTGGATGGTTGAGTACAAGAACAAGAATGTACGAGGTCAGCAGGACAGAACACGTTTGCGGATGGGCATTGATGCCATTCATGAACGGGCACTAGCAGCAGCAATCAAGTACCGTATGGCAAGGGAGGCAAAAATGAAGCTGAGTGGCCCGGGGGATTGGGAGGAGGGGCTTCATAAGCTCGAAGATGGCGATATCCATTCCTATCAAGATCCAGATCATCTCCGTAAAGGAACAGGTCACCGAGGAACGAATGAAGATAGCTGGGAGCCAGGATTGGTTCCCGAACTTCCTGAACCCGGCATCGATCTGTATCAAGATAGTCGAGAAAAACATGATGGGACTGGCCAAACCTGGCGTACTCTTTCTTGGATTTGGACAACGATGAAGATCAACCTAGCGGATGGGGCTGATGAAAACGACGATGAAGTGCTATGTTCGGAATGGTGTCACAGTCGTGCAAGAGCACATCGGGCACGTGAGGAAGTTTTGCTCCTCCGGGAGGAAATGCGCAGAACCTTGAGATTCTTGGAATGGCGAGGGGAGTGGTGGATGCAACGGCGGGATGCATGTGAGTTAGGCGGTGCACTGCGTGAAGCGGTGGATGCCTATGCTCTCAAACAAAGTGATATACAGCATCAGCTGGCAGTCAAGTTTCGGGATCTCTGGTTGACAGCTCTAGACGATGGACGAATGGAGAATGCGCCACGTTCCGAACTGCATCCCAGCGATGATGATGATGCCAGCAGCGATGGTGATAGGGATGAACTAAACATCAGGATTTGGAGTGACGAGGAGGAGGTGGAGCTGGATGAGGAGGATTATGCGGATCTCTGAGGGAACAGTGAGTTCCGTGAGGGGGAGCACTGTATGATGTAATCATGCCATATTGTTTATTCATTATTTCATTATTTTTACTCCTTTCCTGCATGTCATCAAGTTATTTACAATCATAATCCTAATTGGGCAGTATGGGACATCTAATACCGCGCCACCGACATACTATTTGCGCCATCGCTAATTGAGGAAGTGGCTGTGCTGGATAATCTATATTTAGCTTTAATTACACCTATTGGTAACAGGCAAGTAGTCTACTGGTTAAAGTCTGTGCTGTTGCAATGATGTCATAGGGTTAGTCAATATTTTGCCACGTCGCTGGTTCAAACTCCGAACCTCGCCAGTTCTTGTCTCTGATGTCATAACTGCCGGCGCGGGATCCTGTGGGATTTGTTAGCCCAGGTGTTAGTTGACACTTGGGTTCTAACTGACACTCCTGATGCATCACAATTAAGTGCCAACTAACACCTTTCAAACAGAAATCTAGCAGTCCAGGCTGATCATGCATATGCCACCAGAACTGGTCCCAGTTCATTTTATAGAGTTCTTCGTCGGTAGGGCCTTCTACTGGATCCTTGGATGAACTCGTCACCTTCCTCATTGGAGTGGTCAAAGAGGGGTTCATCATTGGCATATTCTCCCGCACGGGTGAGCCTGTCGATTTGTATCTGGGCTCTAACCCATGGGTCCAATCGGTCGAGATGGTCGGTTGGGTGAAAGACGGGTTCATATCGTAAGAGATAGGGGTTTCCATCGATCCATACCTGGTTCCAGTTCCAGACATATGCGAAGTACCTTCGGTATTCTTCAAAGATTTGGTCGAAGTCCTCTCTCTCATAGACCCACCACTGAAGCTCTCTTTGTGATACAAAGGGGGGTTCGACATAGAAGGTGGGTTTGGGGTGGAGGAAAGGTTCGAGCTCTGGGTGAGGTCCAACTTCATTATATCAGGCTCAGGCCAGGTCCCATAGGCGTCGGCAGATCTGGCACCTGCAGTGAGGCCAATCTGTGAGGCTTGCCTGATCGAGCTCAGTCTCGATGGGATTTGATACATTGGTAGTTCCGGCGAGAGATTGGGCTCCTGTGAACCACCAGAGGACAGTGTCCTCCTTGTTGGTGTCTGTGAATAAGACCCTATGCTGCCACGGCGGGGAGTCTGCATGGGGGTGCTGCTCGAGTAGCTCATCTGTATCTGTCTGCTCTCTCCATGGGTCTTCTTCGGTGGGGTAGTATGGGGTCTGGGCCCCAGAGGATCTTGGGAGTGTGAGAGGGATAGGGTTTTCCTCCTCGATGATAGTGTCGAGGGTTCCCCCGATGGATGAAGTGGACTCGACTGGTGAGATTCGTGCAGTCATGGGCTCCCCGAAGGTGTCTGCCCATGCTCTGAGGTCTGCGATGGTAATTGTGTTTCTGGCTGAGGCGCGACGTTCCTCTTCTGCCCACTGGGTTTGTTCTCTGGGGTCAGGTTGGATTGGAGGGTCTGGAACATATTGGCTTGAGCCAGGGATTGGCAACGAATAACATCGTGGAGTGTTGATCCCATAGACTCGTCGAGTCCCATCTGCTGAGTACCAGGATAGCCAGCTGGAGGAGCTGGTTGGGGACCCAGGGCCTTGGATTCTTGGCTCTGGGGAATCCCCCGTCGTATCCCTTGGCTCGCCTTCCATTGTTGTGCTGCTTCTTGCCATGACGGGCTCTCCTCATGACTGCTGGGTGTGCTCGTCTGTTGACCGGGCACTCCCGTAGTCTGAACTATCTGGGCCGCTGCTGCTACTTCCCACATCGCACCTGGCATTTGGTTGTACCCACTCTCCTTTGATGGCTCCTGGTGTTGTACTTGGGAGGCGTATTTCATGGCCTCGGTCGGTGAGGATTCTTCCTCTAGCGACATCAATGTAGATTCTTCAGGCTTCTCGTACATGTAGCTGCTCTCCGGACCCGTCTCCATCGTTTGGAGAGATGCTGTTTCGTCTGGTGCTTTCTTCCTGAAGGGAAGACCTATCTTCTTCACCCCTGCTGCCATTTTGCCCTTCCATGTCTTGCTGTGAGAAGACACGGTCGTCTTCTGGGATGGAGGTCCATGGTATGCTTGGGCGGAGTCTGATGAGAGTGAGGTGTCCGATTGAGGATTCATTAGAGTCCATTACTCGCTCACTCGGGAGGGTCGGTGCTCTTTGGTGTGTTCGTTCTAGCTTGTAAGCATATAGTAGGAGTGTGGATTCGAGGGTAGTTGCGGAGTAATAAGTTTCATAGTTTTCGGAGTTCATACGGTCACTATCATCAGAAGAACAACAGTGTAACTTGTTGGTTCGATGGTGAGGGTATGTGAAGCAAGCTTCAGCTAATTGTAATGCACTAGCTTGGATTGTACAACAGTTGCCTCTAAACTGTCACTCGTGTTCGGTGATTCAGTTGTGAAGAGGGCATTGCAATCACTAAGTAAGGTATGATAGTCCTTAGGCACGAAACAGGGAGTTTCTGCATGAAAAGTTAGGAGTGTATAACTTTAGCTGAAGCTGGGGTGTAAGACCACAGCAAGGCTCGTTTAAATACAGTGTGGTATTTACTAGTATGTACCGCTCCTGTGTCTCGGTGCGTGCTGTCCCAATGCAGCGCTGTCTTCTATATCCTCTGTATCATATGGTACTTGATATAGGAGAAGCCCTCTTGCGAGTAAGAAGACTAGTGTCCATAGGGCGCGGTCTTCTTAGGAGCGTATGTGGCGGCTTGTCCATCCTAGGGTGTGATCACAGACAACCTAAAGAAGCATGACTGGGTGAAGAAAGATCCGGCCCATAGAGTGTGATCGGTCTATGGGCCATCAAATGGATCATGCATGTGAGTGGTGGATCATGCGTGGGATTGATCGGGTCATGAATGATGCGGATCAGGTACGAGGAATGATGATGAGAGTCGAGTGATGAGTTGATGAGATAAGATAAGATAAGCAAAAAATAGGGGTGATTCATGACACCTTCCTGTTTATGTTCTCTCATCAATCATCATGGCAATGTTTCTGAGAGCCCTAATATGTTTGTCCCTGGGGGAACCTAACAATTACTTTCTTGACTCAGAATATGCTATCCATTCTTTTGCTTTCACCTACGATACATGTTTATCCTTGCTTTTTGATTGCTGTTGTCTGTCTCTAATGTTTTGTAATCGCCTCAGTGTTCAAGCTGGATGCTATGGAATAGATCAGTAATTGGCATCTTATCAATGAGTCTGCTCAAGACCTACAGATCACACACTTCTTCCAGTGCGGTCCTTAACCTCATGAGATGCACTCATAAATATCTTTGTTACTCCCTTCCAGTCTAACTGTGACTCATATTGATCCTCTTGGTTTATCTGGCCCGTATACATCCCTGGCCTCCTGATTTTCGAGGTTTTAAAACCCCAATTGATCGTTATGCTTTGCAATAGCCGTGTGATCGGTCGATCCGGTCTTTACAGAACAGAGCCGATGGCCTGCATGTCTGATCAAGTGATAGTTGTTGGCAGATGAAATGAGATGATGCATACCATAGGTCCAGAACACAGCCTAAGTATTAGCATGGCTGTTACGAAATAATATATTTGATGTTACTTGGGTGATAAAAATCAATTAATGGATCATCTAGCGAGATCGATATTGAGCTTACCATGGAAGCTCTTCACTGATCGTTTAGGAAGAGACTGCATAGGCATGGGCAAGGATGGTTGCAGCAGGGGAAGTGACGATGAGTTGGCCCACTTCGAAGATGTCGGACTGTCGGACTCTCGTTATGCGTTCTGATCAGTCGTGGTGAAGAGGCTGGCTGTGGGCACCTGTGGAATAGTGAGCGGGCTAAAAGGCGAACCTCAAAAACCCACACACACACTCACACAACTACACAAACTACAATCACCCTCGTAAGTTCTAGGGGGAGCGATTATTTCTAATGCGATCCAACTATACTTCAATATCTTGAAGAGTTTCTCTTATTCTCAGTGCTCTTAGCGAAGCTAAGCTTTCTCTAATGAATTCCTAAGTCTAGGAACTTTTTACAGGAAGGTCGTTCACTGGCGTGATGCAACCTTCAAGGCAGATTTGAGTTATAATACACAAGGGACACTGATCCCAACAGAAACAGAGGCAATACATGCTGAAACTTTAGTGAGCTTGCTAAAAGAACACCACAGGCAAGCACTGACTTAGCCCGCTCGCTACACAACTGTATGTAGGGGTTCTCCAACTAACTCCAGCAGGTTATCTCGACTCAAGAACACTTCAGAAGTGCTCGGAAAACAGATTCAGAAACGGAACTTCGAACAGAACTGACATGGAACAGACTGAAACAGAACAGAACAGAACAGAACAGGACAGATCTCAGATTTCCACTTCAACACATTCTCCGAACAGACTTATCACACTTAACAGAACAGAAACAGCATCACTGATTTGTATTCACTCTGACTAAGTTCTCAAAAGTCTTATCAAAAGGGTATCTCGTATTTCTCTGAGTGAGCTCGCTAATTCTATGCACAGCTCAAAGTCACAAACTGATCCTTTGTTACAGTACCGCCTTCAACGCGTGCACGGGAACTCGGGGGCTCGAAACTTACTCTCTACCTACTGTAACCAGCCTACTTATACTACAGGGGAATTAGAATTACAAACGTCGTGCAGTACCCAGACTCCTACATGTGTAGCATGTTGCCACCGCTGCCTTACTGAGCATCTGAGTCGGACTTCCCAGTTTTAGTCTCATTTCTATAGTGAGCTCGCTAAATGCGTGCCAAGAGGTGCTCTCCCGACACCCGTGGGCTCATTCTCTAGCGACTGACAGGTCTAGGTGCATGGAACTATCAGTTCTGGCGTATGTCGTTCAGGACTTCTTTCTTGGATTCACAGAGGCTTCTCATAGACACGGCAACAAGTGAGTCTTCGAACAATGGGACTCAGAACAATGGAACATGGGCTCGTGGACTTCAGCTGAAGCCCATTGCCCAAGCTCGTGCCGGTGATATCTGTCACCTTGCTTAAGGATTTCCCTGGATTTTCAGGTACGGCGCGTCACAGTTAGCAAGTGCGCTAAGTGTTCTCAGTGCCAGTGCAATCTTCAAGGTTTTATCTAGCTCCCGCGAGTGTGCTTGTAAGTTAGAGCCTAAGGCATTGGGTATAGGGTTTGGCCTTCTCATCACGCATGCCCATCAGATACAGTGCTGTGACTAAGTCCTGTTTAGAATCCTGTTGCTTCTTATGCCATAAGTTATATTCCATATCATTGCACCGCGTAGCATTAGTGTCGATGTGTAGTTTTAGTCCGCTCGCTCACTATTTCTCAGTATGCGTGTAAAACACTCTAGATTGCAAAATTACATGCGTAAATAGGCTGCAGTCGCAACAGCGGTCGATATGGTGTGTTAAAAGCAGGTAAGGACAATAAAATCATGACACTTGCATCTCTGCAATAGTGAGTATAGTACATAGGTCGGTTGCTCTCAATGTGCATGATCATCGTAGGTTAAATGGTGACCAGAAGTTCATTCAACGAAGGGCGGTAAACGTGTAGACCCTGTTGGTGAGAGGATTCGTTCAAGAGGATTCCCTTGGAGGGCCAGAAACCGGGCAGATGTGGAAACATTGTCTTAACCTGGGCTCTTGTCCAGTGAAGGTCGATGTTCATAGGATAGACACAGGCCTATGCCATTGATGGGGAATGGAAGGTCCAATTCCAAGTACAGTGAAGTTGTGTGACATGTATTCAGCAAAGCATAAGTATCTCCTGACTCCTTTTAAAACTAGGACAACGAGGAGCTTGTCAACCAGGTTGAACACGTAGTTGAAAGATAAAGATTCGGCGGTTCGTCGGTACTATAATGGCCGGTCATTGATAATAGATGTGGTCCTGCTTGTACAAGAGGGGCAAGACAACTCAATGGAGGCAGAGAAGGGAGGTAGCACCAGAGGTTGATATTGCCTAAGGAAACATATCCTTAAGAGGAATAAGTGGCCGGCATATACCTTACAACGTCCCTCTCTTATTGATTATCCCCGTCTTGACCTATCAGGACCTGCATGACAGCCGCATCCTGTGTTTTCTGTGTGCCCTCTTGTTTGTTGCAGAGAATACTGGTATCGAACGCATGCCATACAGTTGGACTGAGGGTCTATTCTGAGTAGAAAGTGACTAGGGACATTGTGGAATGAACTGAAGCGAGACAAGATCCTGAATGAGAAAGAATAGAAAGTAATATAGAGTGGCGGGCAGCAGCAGCGAACCAATGAGGATGGGGAAGGAGCAACATTCCTCGTAACAAATGTGAAGGAGAAAGAATGTAGACAATGATTCCTAGTTCGTGAAAAATATCAGGATGTGTGTGGTCCAGGAAGAAATACCCGCTTTAAGCATCCTCGAGCCTTCCTTCGATACACAAGTCTACACCATGCATCATCCATGAGTGATGATGGTAGTATCTGACCATCCGTAGTAGCCATTGATGAGAACATCTCATAGAAGACAGTATTCTGACGTGCGAGGTCTTGATGAGCGCCGTGCGGGAAGTTGTGGTGCAGGGAGGTTACTTAGATTTTACATGACACCAAACGGGGCCCTGGTACGTAGAGAGAGGAGTCTTCTTGTAGGTCTGGTGTGCCACGTCGATGAGAGGTAGCACAAACATATGGTGGATAGTCTCACTGAAATAAAAGCCTAATAGAAAGGATGAAGTCTGTCATTGCCAACAGATGAGGTAAACTCACAGAGTATGTGGACCAAAGAGTCGGAGCCCTTGGATAAACTAATCTTGAAAAGAAGTGACATATTTTGTGGAGCATTCGACAGTGGTGGGACTAGGCCAACGAGGATTGGGTGGGGTATGAATCGGCTGGCGGGTATACGATGATGACTGGAGGAGACAATGTCATTGGCATGTTCCTATAATACGACACTTGAGATGGTGCTAGTATTGCGGTACGAGCTTGTGTGCACCAGGAAACAACGATAATATGGAGGATGGAGTATAGGTATGTGGACCCATCGCACCATCAACCATGAATATTGTCAATGCTTTTTTATATGGCCATCGTGTATGGGGCACACTGCTGGTAATCAGTAGGTGATGCAGACTCTGAGCAGTATGCGGTAACGTTCAAGACGAATGGGCTGA